AATGGTCCATAATTAGGTGGAGATGTAATTAATTGGAGGTAGACATTTGAAGAATCAGGTTCATGCATGAGTGAATGTGAACACAAAACAAAACAAGCACACTCCTTTATTTTATTTTACTGGGTCCTTCTTCCACCTCCTAGGTTCAGTGCATTGTTTTGACCATGATTTGAATGGCTGGACAACTCATTCTCCTCTCTTCCACTCCTTTTTTTTTTTTTTTGGTCTCTCTCCATCTTTGGCAATTCTCTCTTTCTTTCTTCCCTCTTCTTACCGTTCATTTGCTATTTTGCATTTTTTGTTGTTTTTCTCTTCTTTGTCAACTTCACATGTGCGCCTCTAGTCTAAAGGTAATCAATTTGTAAATAGTATACTCACTTCAGTACTATTCACAATAGGTAGATTTTTTCAAGGGAGAATCACAGTGAGAGTAGCTAAAGAGGGGGCCGGGGGAAGTAAAGCTTTATTTATATTCTCTCCATTAAAAAATATAAAATATTTTTAATTAAATTTTATTTCAATAAAATAATTATTTATTTTTAAATTTATCTTATTTATTTATATTTATCCTTATTAAATACCATATAATAAATATAAAGTCATTATTAATAAGGATACTTTTAAAAAAGACAATGATTACATTTTAAGAGACTAAAAATACCTTACATTTTTTAACATCTAACTTCTCAAAAAATACCTTATATTTTTAAACCAAAAGAGTATATAATTAAATATTTATTGATTCATTTATATATAGATAAATCTTTAGTTGTATAAGGTTCTTATTGCTTTTTTCCTCCTTTGAGGGCCCTTAGCTTATTGTCATTCTTTCTCTTTTTTAAATCTTATTTATAAGGCATATTATTTATTTATTTTATCATAAGTCTGCCTTTTCATCTTGTTAAATGTCAGTAAGAGAAAATATGTTATTAAAATATAGTCTCTTTGATCTTATTTATAAGTCATTTTTGTTATATTTTGCCAGAACCAATGAAACTTTAAATCTTGTTAATTTTGTTTAAAAATTTAACAAGTTTTGAACTTCACCCTATCAAATATATTTTTTTGACCCTATTTATAAGTCACTTCTAACATGTTTTGTTAAAATTTTAAAAAAAAAAATTAATTATTTAGTCTTTGTAATTTTAACCCAGTTGTAACTTAGTTCCTAAATTTTGACTTGTTATAATTTAGTCTTTAAAGTTTTAACTTAGTTGTAAATTAGTTTTTGAACTCTACCTCTTGTAATTTAGTCCATGAATATTTAATCTCTTAAATATTGATCCCTATATTTTAAAAAATAAAATTATAAAGATTAAAATATTTTAAAATTTATTACTATACCCTTTTAATATTTATAAATATTATAAACATTAAAAGTTTAAAATATTTTTAATCTTTATGATTTTATTTTTAAAATATAAAGATCAATATTTAAGAGGTTGAAACTTTAAGGACTAAATTGTAAGAGATAAAGTTCAAAGACTAATTTACAATTGAGTCAGAACTTCAATAATGAGTCAAAGTTTAAGAATTAAGTTACAACTAAATTAAAACTACAAGAACTAAATGATTAATTTTTTAAAAAATTAAAATTTATTAATTATGTCTAGAAATTTAGTAAGTTCTCAACTCTATTCCTATTAAATATACATACTTTAACTATATTTTTTTCTCTCCAACATTTAATTGAAGAACAAAAGAAAAATTTATGATGAAAATTTATTAATGTGACTTATAAATAGGGTAAAAAATTCTTTTCTTTTTGTCCTATAAATAGGACCCAAGAGAACACATACTTTAAAAATAAAATATTCCAACATTTAATAACCCTGTCATATTTAATAGGGGTAAAAGGATAAAGATAGGCACAAAAATCATGTGTTATGAACATGGATGAAAATGATATAAATTAATACAACAACGTATAATAAATTTTATCACAAAGTATTATATATGTTATGAATTATGTGATATATTTTCCAGACATAACATACAATATTGAGAAAAATACGTCTAATTTAAAAATATATCTCAAATATATATATAGAGAGAGAGAGGGGGGGAGAGAGAGAGATGCAATGGTCAATCTTATTTATTTATTTGGCAAAATTGTGTCATTTTATGAATGTTAAAGAGAATTAGATTAGTTCAATGTTATGGGAAAACTAGGGGAGAAGAATTGAAGAAAAAATAAGCTAAGAATTGGTTAACAAAACCTTGAATTGATATGCAAAACTGGTAAAATGGGTAGGGGTTGGCTGGTCAAACTAGTCAAACTTATAAAGTATGATGTTATTTTTTTAATAAAAAAAATTAATCCATATTTCTAAGGTATGTTTTATGCATATAATTATATCTATATCTAATAAACATTTGAAAAGGAAGAATAACAAACAAATTGGCAAAAAATGTATATTTAAATTATAAATTATCAAATAAGTATATCTATTTTAGATGAAAACTATATATGGAGTATGGATTGAAATTGTTTTTTTTTTTTAACGATATCACGCTTTTCTTTATATTTAAATATTCACTTTCTTGATTATGCAGGTGATTATCTTTTTATATTATATATTAGTTAAAATATTTACTTATGATTAATTAAATTATGATCCGACCATTGGATTATAAACTGGACTCTCAACCAATTCCATGAACGTTTCAATTTCTTCGAACATTGAATTTCTGGTGAACAAACATTTAGAATAGGCAGAGTTTTATAGCATTGAATCTGTCGACTTTCAATCAATCCAAATCCCATATTAGTGTGTCCTTTATATACACACACACATTATAATTATGTCAATTTAGCTTATAACCCAAAAGCAACGTGAAAGTTCTTTTATTTGATAAACAATTCGATGAAGGATGCCAAATCCAAACAAAACTCTGCATATTCTTCATCATCCATCATCTGCAGTGAAGAAAGGAGGAGGCAACCATAGTTATTTATTTATTATTTATTTCTTAATTTTTTTAAATGAAATAAAGTTGCTTTTTCTCGTGAAAGTCGTGTAAGCAAGTCAATTTCAAAAAAACAACTCTGTCGTCAATTTTAGTAATTCTCAAATTGTGTTATTGGCACACAGCATCAATCATCTTACCAACTAGACAGATTTTTTCCCATCCTTATGTCGACCACGCTATGATTATGTTTATTATTAATTAAAGCCACACACGGTGAAAATTACCATAAGTTAATTAATGACTACACATTAATTTCCCCAATCTTACTTGTCTTCTAGCCACCTTGTTTTGAATTCTATTCCGTCTAATAATATCTTTTATTAGCAAAATAATCTACATTTAATTAAACTTAAACCACAAGCAATTTCCTACCAATACGCTTTGAATAAGGGCTGCTTCTAAGTCTAAATATAATAAGTTGACTATCTAGTATCTACTATAATGGCTAAATCAAATAAATAAATGATTTTTAGCATGCTTGAATAATTCTCTCGACTTTTAAAATTTGATAATGAATAATAGAAAACTAGTATATTGTAACTTAAAATTTTATACAAATAATTAATCAAAATCGGATTATTGTTGGTCCCTGAATTTTAGCGCGTTGTCATGTTGTCTCTATACTTTTTTTGTTACTCCTAATCCTTTAAGTTTCATGTGTTTATAATGTTAATTTTGTTGCTGTGCTGCTAAACTTATGATGAGTAGGACACTGCTATGAGCAAAATGATCACTAACTTTTTTACTTGTTTGCTGATTTAATGTGTAACTTCTTTTTCTTTCTTTTTTTTATATATCTGAATATAGCACATTTTTCTTGCCTTCTACTCATTTTCAATAAACTCATTATAATTTTGACAAGCTAGTACAATAAGTAATCGATACACGTTTGCCACTATTAAGTCATGTTATGATCATATTTAAAAAACATGGAGACTAACGTTATAGATTGATAAAATATTAAAATTTAAGGGATTGGAGTGACATAATAAATATGGAGATTAATACAAGAATATGCTAAAAATATATGGAACATCAATTATATTTTATCTAATATTTTTTATACTTGTTAGCTAATATTACCCTATTTCACAAACAAAAACGTGATAAACTAGGGACTTATTCACTGATAAATTAAATTTTACTATGATTGTTTTCACAACAAATGAAATTATTTTTTAGATGACTATCTATTATGTCATATTTGAATATTACAGGTCCAATTAATATATCACATAAATTATTGATAGAATTTAGAAGTTCCTCTTAAAAACAACAAACCAAACGTGACGCAATGAAATTAAAAAACAATTCACGTTCACATTTTAACAAAAACGGTGTTGATTAGGGGGCGGTACAACAATTAAGAACTAACAATACTCGTAATTAATAGATTATTATTATTATTATTACTACATCAATGTAACGTGGAAAATGTTTGAAATAGTATGCGTGACAAGGAAGAAAGAAGGGCCCACCCACATCCCCCTACAGCTAAACTCCATACGAATCAATAAAAAAAGAAAAAAGAAAAATAAAAACAAAGACTTGGACAATTCAAGTTGGCTTCGGGTCAACATGAAACTTCTACTACATCCAATAAAATGTAGTTAGTTTTATTTTATTCATCCATTGCTCTCTCTCTCTCTCTCTCTCTCTTGTTTCTGAAAAAAGTCACATTTCTTGCCTCCATGTTGAATCCACCAGTTGCCACTATTTGATTTTACCGCTTTTGAAATGTGTGCTTGACTTTGAATTTCTTCCCCAAGAATTCACCGACCTATCCCATCCAAACACCTCAAAAGTATATTCTCTTTTATATCATGCCCCAGACAAACTGACACCAAACCCTAATTTCCCTTTAACATAATTGCCTCAATGATCCATCCATCGACACGGTCTTCTTAATTCTTATCCTCATCTCTCCCCCTCTCTCTCTAATTAATTATATTGCTCGCTCAGTCGCTCGTGCCCCGCTCTCTAAGCAAGTGGGGCTCAACTTGTCACTTTCTTCCTCACTTTCCGCCAAGTTTCCTTGTCCAACTTGAGCTTCTGATTTCTACTAGGAGAGTAGGACCTCTATATAAACATTTCATGCTTAGTTTAATCAGAGGTTCAGGATTTTTAAGGCTTTTATCTAGATATATAGAGCTGAAGGGAGATTTTTTTTTTTCTCAAGGGGTTTCAGTTCTCATAGCTTCTTTTAGATTAGATTTGGATTTGGAAGCTGCTATGGATTGTTCATCTTGGGTCAACACGTCCTTGGATCTGAACATTAGACCTCATCATCACATGCTTCATGAAGAAGTTCCAGTAAGTAAAACAAATTCTTCATACCTTTCTTGCGTGAATGCCCAGAAACTGCTCTGCAAAATGCTTAGATGAAAGTTGTTTGATGATTTTGTGTGCTGAAGTTCCTAGATGTGTCTGTTGTTTCAGAAAAAGGAGGTGGAAAGCAAATTTTTCTCAACTGGGAAGAAATCTTCTGTAAAAGGAGAGGTTAGTTGGTCAATTCTTTTGAAAACTTTTCAGACTTTCTGGCCCTAAAAAATGGATTCACCAACAAAGTTCCTTCATCTACAACCTCAACAATTAAGAACTTGATGAAATGAAATGTTACTTTGAGTCTTCTGATTAAATCTGTTTTCTTTCTGACACATGCAGTCATTTCAGACAAGTGGTGCGTTGGAGGATGAACTGAAGAGGGTGAGTGCAGAGAACAAGAAGTTGACAGAAATGCTCACAGAGATGTGTGAGAATTACAATTCTCTTAGAAGACACTTGGCGGAATACATGAGAAACAATCCTCAAAAGGATCTTCACAACACCATCCCTTCAAAGAAAAGGAAGCCTGACAGCAGCAGCAACAACAACAACACTAATAGTAATCCCGTGGTAATTAATGGCACCTCTGAAAGCTGCTCAACTGATGAAGAATCATGCAAGAAACCAAAGGAAGGCTCCAACAAAGCAAAAGTTTCCAAAGCTTATGTCAGGACTGAATCATCTGATACTAGCCTGGTAAGACTCTTATGATTGATGGAGCATATCAGCAGGATCTGTTTAAGGATTTTTCATAAACTTATATAATCGCTTGATCGCTTGATAAGGTGTAATTATCTGACAGGAAATCTCTTTTCTTTTTGTGTTGTGTCTTTAGATTGTGAAGGATGGATATCAATGGAGGAAATATGGGCAAAAGGTGACCAGGGATAACCCTTCTCCAAGAGCATACTTCAAATGCTCTTTTGCTCCAAGCTGTCCTGTCAAAAAGAAGGTAAATTAAACTTCACTAATTCCTGTGAATATGTGTGTGTTCACTATGTCATGTTCTTACAGAGAAATAGGCACACTACATCTATAGCAAGGACCTGAATGAACACTGAAAAGCTAATTTTCCTGTTCTCTTGTTTGAACTATTCAGGTGCAAAGAAGTGTGGAAGACCAATCTATTCTGGTTGCAACATATCTAGGTGAGCACAATCATCCTCATCCTTCTCAGATGGACACCACAACATCAGGATCTGGCCGTTTTGTGAACCAAGCTTCAGCTTCCGTACCATGTTCATCAGCATCTCCGACCTCTTCCTCTGCACCGGCAACAATTACCTTTGACTTGACAAAAGCCAAATCCAGCATCAACAACATGAATACCACTACCACCTCCACCAAGAACCCTCAATCGAAAGCTGATTCGCCGGAAGTCCCTCAGGTTTTGGTGGAACAGATGGCCTCTTCCTTAACTAAAGATCCCAATTTCAGAGCAGCACTTGTTGCTGCCATTTCGGGAAGAATGTCCCACATGAATTAAAGACCAGTGGAATTCCAAAGTTGCTTACTTCAACTGGACCATTCTTTAATCATGGGGATCTCTTTGTTGTAAATACAGACAAAGGAAGACTGGGACATGTTCCTATGTTTGATCCTTAATGCGGGGAAAAAGAGGGAGCTGATCAAGCTCACAAGAAAAGCCCAAATCAGTCACACAGATCTTGCAAAAGTCTGTCAATGTGACTGGAACTTTCTGTCTAGCAGTCTCATCGTCTCGGAATCCACTTCTGCTACTTTGTAATCTGCCTTGTTCCATGTAGTCTTCTTTTCATTACATAAATGATTAGAATAGTGATGCAAATATACAGCTGTTTCACACTAAAGCTCAGCCTTAGATTTTTCAGAAAAATAGAACTACCAATATTTCAATATCATATATAAAATTAAATTTATATAGAAAGCTGTATTATCTTTGTAATTGCTGGTCAAAAATGTATTTTCTTTGTGATTTAACTAAGAGTTGATGCAAAGCCGAAGGCCCTATAGTCCGGTTATATAATATAATTCTAAAATGTTGTACATATATGAAAAGAAATCAGACTATGATGGGAAAACTACGTAATCCATGGTATGGAATTTCTTTCTAGAAAGACATTTTTAGCAGTTGATGTTATAAGTTTTGAAGTTTAATTTACTTGCCATAGCAACGCTACATAAACTCATATGGAAAAGAACATGTTGAAATGACCTGCTTTTTTAATGATAATCATTGCAGAGTTACCGAATTTACTTATAAACACTAGTACCGAAATATGTAATTATTTATTTAATTAAGGGGACCTTAGATCTTAAAATGGGTAATTTGTAAACGAGTTAGAATCGTTAGTAATTAAAGTTGGTGTAGCAATTATTTATGCCACTAGCATAATCCAAGTTAGAATGGCTCACTTGTGATCTTGAATGATTTCTAATCGAAATTGTTTCTGGAGTTATCTGGATTTGATTTGCATTTTTTTAGGTTTCATTCATTAAAAAAAGAAAAAGAAAAAGAAAAGGCTCAAGTGTGATCTTGAAACATCAAGGTTAGAGAGAGTGAGTTTTGGTTTAGTCTTGCAATACTAGACCCTTAATCTGATATATGATCCAATTTCTTCTGGACTATCATAATATCACGTCAATCAAATTGATCAATAATACTAAGATCAGATCCAATATAGCATCTCTAATTTCTTGATATTAGGTGGTGGGTTGGGTTGACAGTATCAAGCAACACAATCTACAAGCATTCAAGCAATACTGCAGAAGAATCAGGCAATGTTCCTCAAAGACCAATCAAAGGGTAGGTGCTGCTGCACTTAGTTGACTTTAAGACAACTTGTACTCAACCTGAAAATAGAGTATGGGTCTGGGAATAAAATAGGAACAAAAAAATAATGCGTCTTCTCAAGTTCTTTTAAAAAATTCCACTTTAGATTTGTCCAACTAGACATAGGGAACTGTTCATGATCACGAGATAATGAAAGAACAGGGTAGGCAATGCAGAAGTGACATAATAGTGATTATTGATTGGTTTGTGGGCTGTGGTCATTTCAGTAATTTCTGTTGATGGGATCTTCAATTGGTTATTTGTATGGCTTTATACTCTCCAGAGCTTTTACCATTTCCAAAGTTGAACCCACTGTGAGGTGGAGCTCAATTTATCCACAGATAGTTCTCGAGTTGGTTTATACACTCATTGAATCTGATCTAAAGCTAACTGATAAGATGATCACTTGACAGCTCAGTCACTTGCGAGAAATTATATATGACTATGTTGGCCTCTGCTTTGGGAATTTTGACTGGTAGCTATGGGGGGGTATTGGAACAGGCTCTTTACAGGCCTATGGTTTATGAGGTTACAAACAAGTGTCAAACACGATTCAAATTCTTCTATTACCTGCATTGAACCCCTCATGTAAGTTAGAAACATTCATTTTATCCACTCTCGTGCAAGTTGGGTTGAGAAATTAGTCTTATTTAACCAAGACTTTTTATTTTCTAATTTTAAATAATTCATTTGTGGGTCATGGTCTCATGGAGCAGGTTTGCATAAATTTTTCTTAACCTTCTCATTGTTAGGTAGCAGAAAAGTTTGAAAAGCGAGGGTTAAGGTTGATTCCCTCCAGCAATAGCTTTCCATCCAGAAACAATGGACAAAGGAACAAAGATTGCGTTGTGGACACACACGAGATTAGAAAAATGAATGAAAGGATTCACAGATCTGATTCTCTCATCATTTAAGTCTGAAACAGGTATATCTTTTTAGGGGGGCGGGCAGCCCTCTGGGAAAAGGGAAAGGGAAAAGAAAATAAATGCATAATATGAGACCTAAATCACGGACTGATTCACACCTCTAGGACAGGAAAAATCTTTGAACTTAATACCTAATTAGGATTTAATTTCTTAATACCTAATTAGAATTTAATTTTCTTCCATATATTCTTTTCTCTGAATTAGGCACTAAACCTTTTATTATTATAAGTAAGTTTGAACTTGTAACCTCTTACTTATAGTAAAAGCTTTAATATCACTAGGTTACGTGATCATTGCTGTTCAATGTATTCTCATTACTCATGACTATAGACCAATTTCATCCGTCAACTCACTTTTTCTTGTCTCAAGGTGTAGTGTTCACCCTGCTACTTTGACTCAAGGTGTAGGTTTTGGTTTTCTCACACCATTTTGTAGCTACAAGTCATCTTCTTTGCCCTCCTCTTCCTCACCTCACTTGGCTGTGAAGGTCATGGTTTTGGGTATTCTTAAATCTTACCACACTTTGTAGTTAAGGTCTTGGCTCAGAATCACTTAAATGGAAGCATATTCACCTTACACATATGACCTACATCCTCAGTTATGGCTTGCAGCTTGAGCTCACTAGATATGATCAGGGAAGGGTTTCTAGTATGAGTACCTTTCGTCTCATTTATTTGTATTACAATATATCATTGATTGAGATTTATTCTGTATTGATTTGTATGTATATATATATATATATCCTTGTGTTCATTAAAAAATATTTATGTATTTATTAGGCTTTATTTGATATTATTAGGTTAGACTATTTCTCGTGTATATATTTTGTAAGTTGATTAGTTCCATAGGCCTTGCATTTTTTTCCAATTCTCTTTGACTTCTTTCGTGATATCGAAGGCATAGCATTTTTTTTTCCTCTTTGCTGTTAACATCATGTCTCAGATCTATACCTCCACTATCCTCTGCCTTCACCACGCATCCAACCATCGTTCTTGCCATCACTTGATCTGAAAACAGTATGTGAATAATTCTAAACAGATTTTTGGGGATATGTAAAAAAAAAAAAAAAGGGCCAGTTTGTTTATGCTTTTTTCATGAAAAATCACTTTTTTTTTTAAAAAAAATAATTTTTGTGGAGTTTTACAGTATTTGGTTAATCTTTTGAAAATAATTAGAATTTTAAAAAATAATTTTTTTAAAAAAAAAAAACTACTTTGAGTAATTTTTGAAGATAATCGGATAAGAGATGAGAGAACACTAGACTATTATAAGCCACAGTGATATTTTCATATGATTATGTGAAGTATGCCAATCATATAATTTAATCTAGTATATATTTCATGTAAAATCATACAATCAATAATCAAAGAAGCATAACATGGCAATTAGTTTACCAAACAAAGAAATGAAGATGGTGGTGAATGAAACCTACAAACATACTATTAAAGACACTTCAACAACTGGGCCTAGCATTTTAATTGTCTTGCCACCCTGGGCTTGAAGGCACTGGAATTTCGTACATTGAAAGGACTGTGAAAGGAAGAAGCAAAATATTGCGTGGGGCATTAGAGGTTGAAGAATTTACCCCAAATTAAATAGGTTATGATAGAAATAATAGAGTGGTCCAGAGCCTTTGAGGCACAAAAAATAAACTATTTCAAACCTAGTACACAAATTCATCACTACAAACTGTCTCATATATTGTAGTTTAACTTTTCACCACTCTTGCTAGCCATGACTCCGAAAAGAGTCATTGACATGTCCAATTGTGCACCAACATTGATTTATCCATGCCATAGTCATCATATGTTTTGTGCATGAAAGTTTTCTGCACAACAAACCATAGCAACACGTTTCTTTAATGAAAAAAGCTAGCAAAACTTTTCATATATTCTCCCTTCACAACGTTTCTCTCCATATTTGATATTAGCCACATTTTAAAAAGTTTTTTTTGTCCTTTATATAAGTTATTTTGCCTAATTTCTTATAACCTTTTACGTACAACTCGAAAACTATCCTCCAGAAAATTCTGAAAAAAAATGCATTATTTCAATTATCAAAAAACTCTTTCCGCATTTCAAATAACTCTTTTAAATTTAGGGGCAAATTTAAAAGTGATTTGTTTTTAAGACAATTTTGTTATTTTGGCTAACTCACCTTAGTTTTGATGAGTTAATTAAAAATGACTTATAAAAAAGATTAGAGAAAGTATTTGAGACAAACATAAAAATAAAAAAGCATTGAAGAACATTTTTGTCTTTCAAATATTTACTCAAAATTTTTGGTATCTTAAATTTATATGTGGTGTAATTTTTTACTTTAACATTTTAAAATAGTACATTTGTACCTATCATTAAATGAAGTTAACTTTGATTGTTAGTTAATCCATAAAATTATAAAAAAAATACTTCAAACAAAAATTACTAAATGTTGACTAAGTTCCTAAAATAGTGTAACAACTTATAAGTTTTCTTCCAAAATTTATAATTTCTCCTTCAAAAATTTACAGCAAGTGCAAAATACATGTCTGTTATTCTAATTTAGGAGATTTAATTAATATTATTTTTTTATAAGGTACTTAAATGTAATTTTTTGAGTTCTTTTATTTAATTTTTGAGGTTTTTTTTAGTAATTTTTAGCTAACAAATGGTCAAAGTTAACTATTTTAACAACAGAATATTCAATGCATTTTTTTAAATATTAAAGAGAAAAATTGTATCCTATATAAATTTAGGATATCATAAACACTCTTCTTAAATGAATAGTTATGAGGCGAAAATATTCTATTAACTCAATAAATAAAAAGAAGTCATTATACCCTTTTGTTATGCACACGACTGTACTCCTTTTCTTTTACTTGTTCTTGTACTCGTCTTAGAATGTGTACTGAGACTTCTACTATCTTCAGCAACGTAGTACTTTCTTTTTGACACAAACTAATACTTCAACAGTTTCCACACATCACACTCAGGCGCATTCAGTACGGCATTTAGGTAAAGTTACATGTGGTGTGAAAAGAATTTTTGATTATGCATATCATCAAGGCAATGACTTGACTTCTAAGGGATTCTCTGCTGACATGTGCATTTTGATGATATTCAAGAAAGTTATAGAATATATTCCGAGAAAACGAAGTTGTTAAAACCGGTTGAATTGCAATAAGCAGAATCAAGATGTAGATCTTTTTAAAACATAGCCTACTACTAATACTGCAGAGAATCAAAACTCAGCGCTTAATCAGAATGCTGAAGTTGCCATACGCAGTATGAACTTTGCTTAGATGGTGTTTCAAAGACAGTTATGTAATCTTAATTATTATCACCAATCACCATATCTGGAGGTCTTTCTTTACTCACTTCCTATGTGTATAGCAATTAATTTTAACTAAACTGAGTCGAAATTATTTTCCTTTTCATTCTCCCGAAACTTTCCTTTCTTTTCCAAACAAGTCACGTAACTTTCAATTTCAATCTTCATTCCTCCAGCAATAATAATGATTCCCTCCATTTCCACTCATTCTCTAATTAAACAATGTTTTAGTGTTCACTGAAGTACCAGCACTCTTTTTTTTTTTTTTCCAAGTATGCTTCATTCTTGATTAATTAGATCCTCAACTTCATAATTCCAGCTCAAGATTAGATGTTCACAGTAATGCCAAGAAGATCTGACATGGCCACGCGAGAGAAGGATCCAAGCACAAGGGTTGTTCAATTTAACAAGAATGATAATTAGATTCTAAAATATTGAACGAAGTTAGATTTTTAACAAAATTTTTAAAAATTGAGTCAAAAATATCAATTTAAAGAATTACAAATTTTAGAGTTTCAATTTTAAATATTTAAGCTTTAAATGTAACTAGAATTTGTGTTTGTATCTATGTGGATATTTTCAATTCATTTTTTTTTAAATTTCTCAATGATGTAATTGTTATTAATTTAATATTTTGAGATCTAACTGTTGTTTTTTCTTAAATTTATTTCCTTTCGTTTGCATCAATGACTTCTTACCTTCCTATTCCTCGATGTGTTATCTCCATCTCTTTAGTTTACTGTCCATTTCATTGGAATATCATGCTTAACTTTAACGTTGAAGTCTTGAAGAGGTCTGAGAGTTGAATATGTTTTCCCACTTCTAATTGATTTTCATGTTTCGTTGAATCATTTCAAGTTGCCATAGTTGTGAAGCTGTGCATTGTAACTTTATGAATCATGACTGACATACTTAGAAAGCAGAAACTTTTACAGTCCTATGAAAACATGATGAGCCAACCCAGAACTTCAACCTACAAATCCAATCTTCCATGAACATTTTGGGACTGTTTGGATTGTTCATATTTAAACAGAATCATAATAACAGACTCTGCAACTTGCAAGAGTTATATAATTCAATCCTGCACTGAAATATGGTGGAATTGGTTTCGGTAAGTGGGGTGAAAATTGTCGGACTTCAACTGCATTGGCCTATTATTGTGCATGGTCCTCTTCTCGGCCTATTTACTTGCTCAAGTTCTCATTTTAGTCAATATACACTACGTCTTCCATGATCTTGAACAATGTGAGACTTCACCTTTTTGCACACATGCTAAAGCTACAACACTTTGGACATAATTGAAATAAACAGGCATAAGAGAGTAGCAAATTTGCAGAAACATCAAAAGCAGTTTATCAGAAACAGCACCATGGAAACTCACCAAATACGCAAGTTTATTATCAATAATCATGTTTATCAGAATAGAAATGTCATCTAAACAGAGAAGAGAGGGGAAAAAAATGTCAAAGGAGTGGCTTGGCACGAGTGGATGGATCTTCCTTAGACTCCACTAGAATCATAAACACGTATCCTAAAAGCCAGAGGAGAATATATTGAAATGGAACCCAAGAGAGACATGCAAGAAGGCTCAAAATGCTGCCAACATATTGAGGATCTTTGATGACACCAAATGGGAATTCTGTTACCCAGGGAATGTCTTTACCAAAGCGAACACCATAGTATGTTCCAGCCTCACCAAGCAGCCGATAAACCCTGTGATTTGACAAGTTCACCATTTTTATACACAATCATAGAACAGAAGCAACAGCTCCAGGAACATTACGTTACATCCCTAGTAAAGCACATGAAGTAACTCAGCAAATCAAGACCTCAGAGAAAAAGATGGAAGCAAAGGATTGAATAATACATGAGACAGTACATCATTCTATCTGAATAATGATATTCCCACTTAGCTTCTTTATAAATCACACACAGGTACTTTTTTGGGTGTTTTGGAATCTGGAATGTGCTTGGTTTACAGCCAAATAATTGATTTTTTTTTTTTAAAAAAAATAGGTGAGTCAGGTCCGGAAGCTTTCTAGGATTAAGGCATACCTTTAAGCTTAGAACATTTATAGGGATACTTATAGTTACAAATCGCCTACCAAAAAGATCTCATATTGGCAGTTGAATTTGATCCCAGACTTTGTAGGTTATGGGCCAAATCCTTACCAAGTATCAACTAAACCAACCTTTGTTTAATTTTAAGCCCCTAGTATTCTACACTCAGGAACACAGAATTTGGACGTGTCAACATCATAGCATGTGATTCTCTTTGGAAAGTTTCAACTCCAGGTCTTGCATTATTTAGTTACTCATTGATTCAATTTCGATATCATATTCACAAAAATAGATTATGGTAGTAGCATGATTCAAAGCAGGAAATCACCTGAGGAAATATCAACTTTGTATGGAATCAGAGTCAAGTTTTCAACATCTACCAGGGCTTATGATAAATTACACAATCATAACCAGTCCATTATCATCGTCAGACTGCTTCAAAAGGTTCCTTCAAACAATCATAATCTTCTAGTATAGTTCACACCTTTTTATTACTTATTTATTTGACAAGAGCAAGTTCATACTTTAATGTGAGATCAAACAAAGTAACCAGTGCAGTTTGGGACACTACGAACATGTCAAAAATACCAGTCCTTCACAACTACTTTACTGCTAATGGATGATCCCTCAGTACCGGGAATCTCAGGGGTTCCATCCACATTTCGAAGCCAATATAGGTCTTGAAAAAATCATTAAAAGAATTCAATCCATCAATGCTTAAACCTTTTCAGTTGATAGGGCTCAGATTATTGGGTTTGAAACTATGAAAGTATTATTGCTGCCTAAACTCGGTCAAAGAACAATGCCAGTAATTTGTTTTGCTAATACTGTTTTTTCTTAATCAATCTAATGCATAGCCATCAAGCCCATATGTGACACTCAATTCTGAAAGTAGATACTGGCAATATCAGAATCTCATACACCCAATTAAGTGAAGTTAACTGCATACCATAGACCTAACACTTCCTATACAGGAACCCAACGAAGGTACGATAGCTGCTCTTTTGCCATAAACACAGTTGGCTAAAGCAAATGAATTCATTATATTGTGTAAAACATGTTTTCTTTCTGCTGAGGAACAAACATGAAGGTAGAGCTCACAACCAGAAATCCCTTTAATACATCTCAACTACAAAATAGCAGCGAACTTATTTCATTTCAACTCTTAAAAAACATTTTCTTTCAACTCTTCAGGGATATTATAATACGCTCCTCAATCCCTGTACTGTTTATATTATTCGTGCTTTTCACGAGAGAGCTCATTTTGCGTCAAAAATCACTACCATTACTACTTCTACAACAAGAAGACGATGCAAAAACCAAGCCTTGAAAGTTGAAACTCCCCTCACATCCACTAAACAACACTACTTACAAAGTTCAGTCTCATGGCAACAAATCCACAAATGCCATTATCAGATCTAGAGCACCATTCAGCAAAACCCGGTACAGTCCAATCAATGTTTAACAACCTCCAAAATAAGCAAAAAAGTAAGCAAACATACGCAAGCACGCAGGCATAGAGAAAGAAGAAAGAGTGGACTAACTTGAAGTTGAGGAACTGGCCAAACGCAAAAAGTGGCCAGAAATAGAGAGGAGGAGGCCAATGGAAGGAAGAAACAGAGAAGAGGGAGATGAACTGAACCAACTTGAAGAAATGAGCTAAATGGGCCATCACTTTAGATGGGTCTTGCCCTTTACCACAAAGGTCGACCCACGACTGAGGCCAAGTCCACAGCCAGAAGTAGAACGGAAACGGTGAGAGTATTCCAATAGCCGCCGCAATACCCATTGACCTTTCACTCTGCCTTCCGCTTCACTTGCCCGGAAAGTTTGAGCTCAGCTTTCGGCTCAACGAGATCCTCCTTTTCCGGATTCTAGCGTTCCTTCGAGACAGAGAGAGAGAGCACGTAAACGGGGCGACCATAGTCTATGCTTAAATCACCTCAATCGGGGGCCCATATCTAAGCCCAATAACTTTATGTAACTCTGGCCATGAGCCCAAATTCACATTTCTGGAGATGGCAATATGGGTAGTTGGCTCTCATCTTTTTTTGTACGTATATTTTTTTTTTTACCAGCGTCTTTTTTTTGTAGGTATTGAAAACAAGTAATTGAACTGGTTGAGGTGATTGAACTGGCCTCTTTAATTTTTTTACATTTTCTTTATATAGCATCATTATATGAGGAAAAAAGAGAGTGCAAGAAATTACAATAATTTAAAGTGACATAAATGCGGGATAAGACATAATATTAAATGAATTAGGCATGATATATTTGTATTAGATAATGTATAAATGACATCCAAAGAATTTCTCTAATTTCATCTCATATGTTGCTAACTCATATGACACATCAATTAATGTTAGCCACGCCTACCTTTTTTAAGGAGCGGTGTAAAAGAATTTGAAATACAAGGACTAATTTTTAAACTAAGTAAAAGTATGGAGACTAAAATTCACATATAAATACAAGGACTGATTTTAAAATCAAGTAAAAGTATAGAGATTAATTTCAAAATCAAATTATCCACAAATTTTCCATATAAAAAATAAGATTCGAATTCACATATTTTAACAATTTCATGAGCCATATTTATCACATGAATCATATAAACTCTGGATGAATTATTTAACTCCAGTTACATAAAACACACAATACCAAGAGCTTAGCGCAGACCTCTAAAAAGAGTTAAGACTCTTCGAGCAATGTGGGGTTTATATCTTTTTGAAATATTCACGCATTTAAAATAAATAAGATTTTGAACCTTCTCAATTACAAAAAAAATTACATTGAGATAATTACCTATATTTAAATTTCACAATGCTCAAATTTGGATCAATTGATAGTACTAAATACCATATAGTTGGTAACAAATATTAATATATTTGTTACAAGCATACAGATTTTGTTGAAAACTTGATACACTTTTTGCGGTGGGTATGTTGGAAAGATTTCAAAGTGATAAAAATTTATGAAAAGAGGTTTTGAGGTACCTTCAAAGTGCTAAAGGATAATAAAATGTTTACTTATAGAAGGACAAATAACTTGAGAATTGTTGATTTCTCGATTTTAGATTCAGCAAATTGACACGAAAAATTTTAACTTTCAAATACATTTATTATTGCATCAGGCAGGGGGAAAAAAACTCTTGAAAAAGTACAAAATAATCTTTAATAATTACATCTACTGCGGAATTTGAGTTTGTTGTCATTTTAAAGTAATAAACTCAGTCTTTGAACCTATTAGAATTTATTGGGGCAACACTAATTAAGTAGTGCCAAATAATCCTTAATAGTTATTTTTATTGTGGAATCTAATTTTAATCCTTAATCGTTTTAAGGCTGTGAATTTAGCTTTTATACCTATCAAGAGTTTATTGGTGATGTCATAACTACTAATTTCTTTATAAAAGAATATAAAAGTCAGCCTTCAATGAGGACCAATAACACTGAAATTTGATCCAACATCACCTGATATCATTTAATTATATATATATATATATATATATAAAAATATAAGAGTCGAAGCAAACAATTCCATATGAATATGCTCCTCCTCCTCCTCATTTTAAATATTTGGAAGAGAAAATCTCATAAATTTTTACTTAATCAAAGGCTCACTTTAACATACTTCTTATTTTTTAGGAACTTGTTTAAAAGTATAGCACAATAAAAAAAAAACACACAAAAGGAAAAGGAAATTGTTTTTAAGAGGGAGAGAGAGAGAGTGTGTAACGTATATAGTACAGTTTTGCTTTACTAACATTTTAGCTTATTGATAACAACAAAGGCAAACTATTTGTGGATGCTCGCTGTTCGCTTAATATAATAAACACTTTCGGGCTCTTTCTTATGAATGTATGCTAGTGTATCATAACTAATCAAAGCATAATTTTATTTAAAGATAATGAAACTTTTTATCTTTTAAATTTATCTCAATTATCAATTTGATACTTTAAATTTAATTTTTATCAATTTTAATCTCGTGTTTTTTTAATTGTCATGTTGATTCTTTTATTGTTGAAACACATTAATTTTATGTGTAAAGTACATTGATGACTTGATACACACATATATGTACCTAAATGAGAACATATTTATATGTAACTAAATGAAAATAAGTTAAGTTTCAAATTAGTTTACTTTTTATCAATCTAATCCCTTGTGCTACATTTTGTTCTTTAAAAAAACAAACATTTTGAGTATGTTTTTTTCTATTTAAATAATTACACTTTTTTTTATTAATTTACATGACTACTATTAATAATTTCTAATTTATGTTAGTAAATTTTAATAATTTTACATTTTCTTTAAATAATAAGAACCAAATCATAATTAAGGCAAACTTAAGGAAGTAAATTGCTAAAAATTAAATTTGAGAGATTAAATTAATAAAAAAGACAAATTTGAAAAACTGAAAGTTTTATTTAATATTCACAAACTAATTATATATATATATATATATATATCATGCTAAAATAAATAAAGAAGAAAACTATAAAACAAACAAGATTAGATAATCTGGCAGAAGAGAATTCTAAACTTGCGGGTCCGCTAATTTGAAGTGTATTTTTTTCATTACACCAATAGTTCATCCAAATAGCATACATTGCATCTGGATTCGTCAAGTAAACAGAAACCATTTGATTTGAGATACTCATAACTTTTTATTTCTTTTAATATTTGTATTTTGGGATGATAAAGACCATTATAATGATTTTAAGGTGTTTGGTAATTTGCTTTAGAAGAAATTGTTTAATCTTTGTCGGTATGCATGCCCACATAAATTTACTCAACACCTACTTTATTTTTATTCTTCGAGGGTACACTTGATATTGATCAAATTCATCTAATGCAATAATCATGTGAATACTTTAACATGAATGGTTAGTATAATGATTTGAGGTTAAGCAGCATTAATATCCATTCTTTTGAGGTGATGGACCACCTTGTTCATGTGATGCCAAACGCCAAAAATAAAAAGAAAAAGAGCCAACTTTCTTTAATCTCAACAAATAATTCCATGAGGTTTCATTAATGTGCTCAAAGAGAACCACAATTCAACACCTATCTCTAATTTGCAATGTTACTTTTATGAAGTGCTAGCACATTCCTGGAACATGCATCCCCCCTCTTTCAACTTCCTTCTTCTATCTTCTTATCAAACATTTTTTTTTGTGAATTGCGCATAGGCATCCTTCTCTATTAGAAGTAGTCCCATTCGAGGCACATGTGAGCACACAGAGAGATTCTCCATCATAGTCTATTGCAATTGACCAATGAATGCCCATGGTTTTGACAGGATCAGAGATTCTCTGTTAAGTGTGCGTGCGTGCGTTTTTGTGTGTGTGTGTGTGTGTGTGAGTGTGTTTTTTTTTTTTTTTTTGTGGGAGGATCAGAGTTAAAGTAGCTGTTCGAAGGAGAGACAGATAAACACAAATTAATTATGAATAATTAATAGATATCAAATAACTCTTAGGACAATGAATTACTACAATAATGTGTTCAAGATTTTCTCATATAAGAATCTACCATTCTAAGCATAGAATTGATCGTTTTATGTCAAGATCTTTATCATGTGAAATTTCACTGACATGCTAGCTAGTGAAAGATTCAACCATAGGAGCATGTTTAAATTAATTTCACGGGCAATTCCAAAGAACTAAATTAAATGCTTCTTTTGAATTTCTGAACTCAATCCTAAACCATAGGGACACATAAAACATGGAAATTTTACAATGTGAAGTGAACATTTGAAGGAATATGAACAAATTCCTATACATTCCCCTTCCACAGCGTGCCCCATATTAATTTATCATCATTCTTAGATTCATAAAAGACGGCATAATATAAAAAGATTTTTATCTCTTCTCTTTGTTTTGTTTTTTGTTTATATATATATATATTAGTCAACGGACACAGGAATATAGTCAGTGTAATTCAGTCACTGATATCAGAGATCAGAATATATCTATTTGCTATTTGCAGATGTGACCTGTCACCAATTAGTTACCATCGATGACACATACGATTATTAAATAAACGAGCAAAACACTGAAACAGAAAGAATAGAAGATTAATTGATAAGTTGGAAATCTAACTCAGGGCACAATGGGAAATAAAGACGGAAGAAATGGTACCAGGTAATTTGAATTGCTTTCATAGTCATTAGATTTGATTTTAAAAAAAAAAAGAAGAAGAAGAAGAAGTCGTCCCAGAAGGAAAAATGTAAATTCAAAGAGGCTATCCTAGAATCAAATCACGTCATCTGAATCTAATATTTAGCTGTACTTGATGACATACCATTTTATTTTGCTCAATTGATCCCCTCAATTCAAGAAATATGGAAAAGTTCTTACTTTCCTTGCAGAAGAAGAGCCAGATGTAAGAAAATGCGATCCCTTTTTCAGGACTTCATCTTTAGAAAGGGAAACTCTGCACCAAAAGCTTGGCAGAAAGCTCCTATGCAATCCTTCTCCCAATTAATGCAGTCACATCATCTCCCCTTTAATCTAGGGCACCAAAATCCTGCAAAAGATTTGGCATTAAAACCTCAAGATACGTGGCTTTGATGATTACAAGTCTCAGTTTATGACTTTATGTTCACTATTCACTCGAGTTTCCATGCGCCGAAGTCCTTGCAAACAAACAGGATGCAAACAAGCATCACTTAGAAAGATTGTAGAGAGAGAAACGAGCCATCTTACCAAAATTACAGAGCTTGATGATTTTCACGGTATAATGTGGCAACGTTTGATCCATAAAAAGCTTTATATTAAATTGGAAAATCAGATTTCCTACACCAGCGTCTCTGACTTTTCAAATAAGTTAATATGCGGGTATAATCACCACAACTTTCATCTGCATGGGGTTCTGTTTTCTGATGTCGAAAGATCTATTATTTTGTCT